GGTTTGATCAGACTTTGCGTCATCGTCGGGATAAAGTTCTAAAAGGGCTTTAATATGTTGAAACTGTTCGCAAGTAGAGAGGTGTTGATGGATTACAGATTCTGTGTGATATGAATGTTCCTTAGTTCTGGTGTATAAGCAGCGTTCAGTTTTTTTTTAATTACTCACATTAATTAAGCACATTACTTTTCAAGTGTTTGGTGGCGGCTCATGTGCGAGCGACTTTTTGTCAACACGGATCGACGTCACCCGAAAATTGGTTACAACAATTCTTCTGGAATTTTGCATAAATAGCGTTCGTGCAAAAATCTTATGTTTTGTCATATGTGTTGACAAAAGATTATCATCAACTAACATACACAGTTTCCCACCTCGGCAATCTGACATCAGTGTTGACAAAACCGTCGCTTGTTAAGCTTCTTATTATGCAAAGTACGTGCATGTGACGTAGCTACATTTGTTTGCACTGCATATTACAACAACCCTCGAAATTCAACTATTTTTGCCTCGGCAAATAATTGCCGAAGTCTTTTGATAATTTTCGAGTTTGCCTACGCAATGAAATCACCTTAAATGCCTTCGGCAATTACTTCGGCACCCTTCGGCATTCACGTCGGCAGTACCCGATTCAAAATGTTTGTAAAAAGTTAGTGGTAATTGACCGTAATTAACAACAAAATGAACAAATTGTATGAAAGAATAAACTTGACGGTAATCACGCGACAGTCTATTAGGTATTTTGTAAAGTAGCTATGAATGAAATCTTCTGTTGTTCACTTGTTCACCCGACGTCGATGACAACAATTCGAACAAAGAAGTGATACAAAAAACGAACACTGTAGTTTGTAAATTTAAGCAAAAAAACGAACACACGCTGTAGTTTGTAATTTAAGGTACAACGGGTGGAATTGCCGAGTGCCGAGGCGAATTTCGAGGGTTGTTACAACCCATTTTCAAAATACGCGACCAGGCCGAAAATGTAGCTATAGAGTTGGAATGTCAATTTATTTCACACGAAGTTCAAATTGTTTACAACTTTGAGTTTTGCAGTTCCTTATCGATGTATATGCTTTCTGTGCTTCAAGTTTAGAAAGATTCTCGAGGCATTTTTGTGTTAATTATTGCAAAATTTAAGTACGATGAATTGGAAATCATGATATAACCACTATAGTCTAGCGCAAGCAAGTTTGATCCACAGTAGACAGTAGTTTCCTGTTGTGATGGTTTGTTTCCGTTTTAGTTTGTAAATCTGGGTTTAGGTATTAATTAAAGACGGTGTAAAATATCTTTTGTTTTTGTTTGCTATTTTTAGTTTGCGTGACATTTGAACTAACATTTTCGATCATTTTTGGTAAAAAAAGTAAGTTACTTTACAGCCTTGACGATTGTTTTAAATGTGACAATAAAAAAATGTCGCACCCTTAGGACCTATGTGGGTGTTGTTCCCGCCTGGTTTCAACCAACTGAATTAACAGTGCCAATGGCAGAGGAGTGCCCGAGATAATATATTAATATTCAAATTTGAACAAACTATTTTGAATGTGTGAAAAAGGCTAGCGTAAGATTGCGCAAGTTAATTAACGCCCACTTAAGTCGAGAATAGCAACATCAAAGAGATATAGGACCAGTACTAAGTTGTATCAATTTGTAATAATTTGTAATAATTGATAGCTTTTAGAATCAATATCAAAATATATTCTATATGATAGTGTGTAGGTACAGTCCATCACAGACTCTCACGGGCGCATGAAGTGAACCTCGAAGTGAACGCTTTGCTTTTTATTAATGTTCCCCGCCATGCCAAAACAGGCAAACATGAAAACGAGGCCAATGGGACAAAAGTGCAATAAACAGTAAAGTCAAAGTGTTTTTTCTAATGAGACGATAAAAGAGTTGCGTCAGGGGCACTGAATTCCTGTTGTAAGATTGCGCAATATGCGTAACGGGGCTGTTTCGTGGTGTGCCGATGAATTCTTTAATTAACCACTTAACATGACAGTGACGTTAGTTGTTTCAATTTGTGATATAGAACTTTTCCGCGGGTATTTAATTCGGTATGATAGCGTTTGGCCAGGCAATTATTTTATTCAACGAAATCTCTCGCGATGAAAGAATTCGAACTCTTCAAAGCTAAAAACTAAGCCTGTTACACAGCGTATGCATTTGCTAGCATCACCTCGTTGTCAGCCGAATGTCAGTCGAAACACAGATAGACTACAATTCACAGTAGGCGGACCATTAGAAATCCCAGGGGGTGACAACCCCCCTCCCCCGCACAAAAAAAAATATTTGTGAAAATGAAACTCATTAATAATTCATGAGAAAACAGAAAGGAAATCATGACCGTGAAGGAGCTTGTTATTCTCATACAAAATCATGCTGATTGACATATTGAATTTTCTCACCGAATATCACAATTGTTGAAGAATACGTATGTTCTCATCAAGACGTTTCACAGGCCATTTACAACATTCACGTCCGTGTTGTATCGGATATACAAACTCTCGCGGCCGCTCATGTTGTAAATACTAGATATATAAAACACATAGACATGTATCAAGCATTCAAATCGAAAACAACGTCTCTGTCTTCCTATAAACACTTGCTGAAGGAATATTACCAGAGGCACAGCGCTTTAAAATCAACTTATGATTCTGAAGATGCGGCTCTGCCCGTAGTCCTCTGTCTCTTCCTACTGTATGTGTTGTTTTTAATGTCTGTATGTCTTAATGCGGTTAATGTCCGCATATGTTTGTATGTTTTGTAATCGTTAATATTGCAGTATGAGCTCCACCTTTGAATTTACTATATGAGTAAATTCTTAAACACGTCCGAATTTATCATTATGATAAATTCGCGGCAAATTTTGAATTTATCATAATAATAAATTCGCGGCACCTAACACTAACCCTAACCCCAACCCCTAACTTTTTAAACTTTTTAAATTTTTTAAACTTTTTTAAAAATCTAACTTTTTAAACTTTTCTTGCTTTTCAAAACTCTTCCAAAACCTCCCCCAAAACTTTTTTTTTTCAAAAACATGAAAAACTCCCCAACCAACTTCCAGCGACCAGCTTCCCTTTTAGTGCCATTACATTTATAACAAGAAATCCTGTGTAATGCTTGTGGTTTTATGATGAACTCTATTGATAAATTCAAAATGTGCCGCGAATTTATCATAATGATAAATTCGGACGTGTTTAAGAATTTACTCATATAGTAAATTCAAAGGTGGAGCTCATGTTGCAATATTGTTAGTTGATCTTAATGTACTGTATTATAATGGATCCGCAGTAAATGGCTGTAACTGTTGCAGTTTCCAAGCCCGTTGAGCCGAGTCAAAGTGTAATAAATAGATAAATAAAGTTGTGGCGTTTGCTTGCAGGAATTTTTTCCCAGTCCCAACTTTTTTGCCACCCCCCCAGGATTTCTAATATAATGGTTCGCCCCTGAAACTTTCGAAAAAAATATTTTAAAGTAAAATATTTTAAAATATTAAAAAAAAGAAAAAAGTGCATATGACACATTTTAATTTCGTTGAGAAATTTCACTTTCTTTTAAAAACATCCAACCAACTAATTGACGTCATATTGACGTCATTTACATATAATATTAATGAAGGTTTAACACCTTTGTTATCCTCCAAGCATCAACATAATTAATACTCTAAGCGATTTTATCAAATACAAGCGCAGAAATAAACCTTCATTGATGGTTGCAATGATTTTTTAAAGAAAAGAAAATATCTCAATAATGAAACATGGAAAGAAAAATCTAAACTTTCTTTTACTTTACTTGAAGTAAAGAAATGGCGATCTTAAATTAAGAAAATACAATATCAATATAGTTTACTCTTATCGATATGAGCAATTCGTAGTACTGAATCCTTTTTCAATAAACCGAATACTTTCTAATACCCATACTCAGAGAAACGTCTATTATGAACTACATTGAAAATTTTAAATTTTTGATGTTTCTACATCGGCACTAAGCATACTTATAAAAAGTATGTTTGGTGCCTTATCTGTAAAATAATGCTAAAATGAAGGAATTTTTGACGGTATGCCAAAGAGAAAATGATGTTTATATTGCTATAAATATGCAAGGCGTCATTTTTAAAGCATTATTGATATTGTGTTTTTATTGATACTATCATTTGATGTTTCTCAACCGGAAAATGTATAGAAAGGTAGCTAACTGTATAAACTAGAAATAAAGCTAAAGCAAAGTAACTTTGCGAGGTATACCCAAAACGATTTTGGGTTTTGAAAGCGGTTCATCGCGAATACGCGACATAACAAAAAAAAATTGCCTCTTGAAATACTTGAAATTAGAACACTTGATATTATTTATATATTGCTTTCTAGAGCACTTCGAAAACGTTATTCCAGTGTACTTGGCCACGTTGTGGGAAAATGTTGACAAATTCTCATGCTATTGTACGACACATTCGAGCATGGCACTTGGGGTAAGATTTCCAGATGTAAACGCAACCACCAGGGGGCAGTAATACCTATAAGTACCAGTGATTCCATTTTCAAAAACCATAATTTCCTTCCAGCCGTTCAAAATTTCCTTAGTTTTGAAAAAAATTTACACCTAATTTAAAACTGATTTTATAGTAATTTATCTCGAATAACGGGGTATTTCTTGCCCTAGAAGGAACATAGACGTTGCAGGGGTTGACTTATCAAAGGGGAGAGACAAAGAGTTTACCTAGATTAACACGAAGGAGAATAACCAGGGGGATCTGGGTTTGCGTTTCAGTGACTGATTGACCAATTGGGAACAAGCATGCCAGTAAACTGGAAGTTGAGCAATTGTTCAACAAATGAATTGATCGATGTTAGGTTATGAATTGTTGCAATATTTTATCAACACTTCTATTGCAACGACAGTAAATGTATAGAAATAGAATCTTATGTTCCTTTTGTGTTTTATCAGGCCTAAAACAGACAAAGGCGAGGATTACAGCGATGGCGAAGAGGAATTTTATTTCATCGAAATAGAACGAAACGCAGACGACGTGATTGACCATTCCTCAGAAGAAGCCATCTCACCCCCTCTGACTCGCACAACTTCCAGACGCTGCCGATCTTTTAGCGACCCTTCAGTACCTACTCAACCCCCCGTCTCGTCAAGCGCGCAACTCCACTTAGATGATAACTTCATATGGCCTTTACGGCAGGCAGGGGGGAGGGGCAAGGCGAAGAGACCGCTACACCAGACAGTTCACACGAATACAAGAAAAGCCCGAGGCGATGGCAAGAAATGTCGAAAAGTCTTTGGCATGGAAAACAAGCAACTGTGGTGTACACAATGCCGCTGGAAAAAGGCTTGTGCTAAATTTATAGACTAGCTCTGACCTTGACCTAGTCTCTGACCCGGCTTTGATATGCAGCTAGTGGACTGGTTACAAGTTCCCCGGTGCACGGTGGGATAGTTCGTCGACACATCTGACACGTCACGACCAATTTGCAACTTTTTCTCGTGGAGGAAAACATGCAAAAATATAGACAGTATGTGGCATATAACTTTGAACAGATTTATCGTATATGGAAGGCACTTCATAGTTGACAGTAATTGATATAGTTGGAGTTTGATAATGGGGTAGGATGCCAGAGCAAGGGGGAGGAGGGGAGTCTTATCTGGTGGGGGGCAATAGGCGAGAGGGGCCCTTTTGTATTTTGGTTTAAGAGAAATTGGTTGATTATATCCTGTTGTTTTGCGCACAGTATGTGGGTTTCAAGTAATCGCACGAGACTTTGACGCAAAGGCAGGCGCGCTTCCTCTGTTAAAATGCCCTCAGTGTGCACTGAACTGGTAGGTTTCCATTTTTGTGCATAAGCCATTTTTAACATGGTTCGACGCAAAAACAGCCTTTTGAATGAAAATGTCTTGGATGGAAAATACCCGAGCCCCCCGCCCCCTCCCCATTTTGACATTTCACGATCGGAAATTGCTACCAAGCTAAGGTAAACTTGGCTTAACTGAGCATGCGTAGATTTCCCCTTTTTTAGCAGTTGTTCTGAATATTAATGAGGTGAGTTGCTAAATTATGTTAAGGCCCACTTCTATTAACTGTGGGCCTATAAACAATATTACGAGACTGAAGCATGTTTAAAAACACTTTAAACTTATAATTTTGAGCCTCAATTTGTCATAAATACGTCAAAGTATACCAAAACAAAAAGCGCGCGAAAATTGCTGACTGAACCCCGCTGATCCAAAAAGTAGACCAGGATAGTGCTTCCGGTATCCATGAATGAGCCAATGGCAGCCGTGTTTGTGTGACCACCACGAATCTACAGCTGTGGTGTTGGTGACATGTTAGAAGATACGTAATATTTCAAATCCAACCGCAGGGAGCCCATCCCGGGTCTTATTGAAGTTATGTATTAGAATTACGTACGAAATATATAGCTCAGTGTTGAAGCCTGCAATTTGCCGGCTGTGTGCGGGCTAACGCGCGCGTTGAATACACAATGCGCGCGTTAGCCCGCACACAGCCCGCAAATTTCAGGCTTCAACACTGAGCTGTATATTTCGTACGTAATTCTAATACATAACTTCAATAAGACCCGGGATGGGCTCCTTGTGATCCATAGATATCTTATATACACTAGATAGTGCATCTAATTATTCTGCAATTCAAAAATTGAAGCCGTGATTGCAGTCTCAGGTCGTTCCCATGAAATGAGAAGATTCGTATGTTTTCTATTTCTTAAACAGGGAACTTAAACATTAAGTTAAACCTATTCCAAATACATTTTTAAACTATTTAAATGATGAAAGTTATTGTTGTTTTTAAGCGTTTATTAGTAAGTGGGAACGACCAATATGGCCGCCATCTGTTCAAATGGGGGTAACCGCTGGAATATTCTTG